GTGTTGTACGCGTTCCTCAAGAACAGGAACGAAAGCTCGTTCCTCGTTCTTTCTGATTTTTGGAACGCGTTCCCGTTACAAGCTTCATATGTGAGAAAGGAACTCGTTCCCGTCGCACTTTAAAAAAGGGAACGTATCGTTACATTAACGTCACTTTTGTATTTTGCTAATTACCATATTTAGTTAGTTCACACGAAGTTTATTTTTATCTCTCTCTCTCTCTCTCTCTATATATATATATATATATATATATATATATATATATATATATATATATATATATATATATATATATATATATATATATATATATATATATATATATATATATATATAACTGAGAAGAAAAAACCCTTAGTGAAAACAGCAACAACGGACGATTTAATCTTCGATGTTTCGGCCGGAGTCCGGCCTTCTTCAGGAAGCTTCCTGACGAAGGCCGGACTCCGGCCGAAACGTCGAGGATTAAATCGTCCGTTGTTGCTGTTTTCACTAAGGTTTTTTCTTCTCAGTTATATACCCACGCCTTCGGCCTCCCGCCACCATGCCCGTTGTATATATATATATATATTCTATCGAATGGCAACATACCAATTCAAACGCCGTTATGGAAGGGCATTAGAAGAAGAAAACAACCGGAAGCAAGGTTCTATTTGTTGATATACTCACCTTTAGAAATCTCAGCGTTTTACCATATTCCTGTTTGTGGTGGGTGATTCAGACGAGCCAACAAATGTACTATGAGTCGGGAAGGAGGGAGCGGGGTTAATTTTATCATTCTTTATTAAAGGGTTACCTCACACTGCACGAGCGTTTTATAATAGTAAGGAACGTTTCAAGACGAGGAAGTGGAGGAGAGGGTAGGGCTTTTGGAAGCTGAGTCTTGAAAACTGTTAGTCCCTCTTTGTGAAGGTCGGATACCTTGTTCAGTTTGATGGTGGAGGAGAAGGGAAGAGGGAATAAAGGTTAATTTTTGTGTATATTGTATGTGACCAATGTTCGAGCTACAAGGGTACGTTCGATGTCTGGTAACCTGGTCTTTTGTTGTAACTGTAGGTCTCTTAGTGGACGTTCAGTGATGGCTGAAGGTCGGCTTTAGAATGAGGATTCGTGGAAGCAAAGAAAGTAGCTGAGTTTGACAGATCCCTCTTCCCCTGTGTCTTTTTCTTTTTCCCAACTAACTTTTTTTTTTTTTTTTTTTGCCGCAGTTTCGGGCACTGAAGAAAGAATCAATGGCTTCCAGCTCGCTTGCACCCGACTGTTACCAAGCGGGGACCCCACAAAAGAAACCCTAAAATAAGTAACAAAAAAGTTAACGAGATCGTGATCTTCGTGAAGGTATTGTTTTTATACTTTTTAGAGTTAAAAATAAAATAAAAATTACATCACTGGACAAAAAAAAAAGGAACGCCGTTCCTTTTTCCGTTCCCGTAAAAACGTAACGAATTCCCCTTCCGGTTCGACCGATGCAAGATGAAACGGTGGCGTTCCTTCGTTCCTCCTAAAAGAAACGCGTTCCAGGAACGCTGCTCTTAGGAACGCCGTTCCGTACAACACTGACGTTGCACAAAAAAAAAAACGGATTTTCTGTTGTATTTTTTATTTAAATGTTGAAATGTTCCCGAAATTAATTGGCCAGACTCTGAAAAAATGGTATCAATGTTCTTTGCGAAGCAGGTTGTCAAAAACAAGTTAACTACGGACCTGAAGCCAACCGTGCCTCAAGACCTTTTCGGATCCGTGAGTACTAGTTCTCGCGTTTGCATGCATGCCTTCATTTTAATTTCGGAATAAAGATGACGCTCCTACAAGCTCACCCTGTTCTACTTTTAATAACAAAAGCTACCAGGCATTTTTTTTTTTTTTCTTTTGCCATTCCCGTTTTTTTAGCACGTCATGTGACTTTGTTCCGCTCGAACGGACATCCTCGCCAGAAAGGTCACGTGGTAGCTTAGAGGCACGCTATTGGTACGGTGTCCAGACTGTCCCTAACTTGACCTCCCGTCGGAGAGCGGGATGAGCTTACAATAGGGAGTTTTAGTGTACCGTGTTTTCCCTCCGCTAACCCTCCGCAACGAAGAAACCGCCTCTGCGCCTGCGTGCCGATGGCCTTGGCTGTAGAGTTCCAGGGAGCGGAGGGGCTTAGCGGAGCCGCGCGTGGAGCGAAAACTCGGGCTGCAGAACCCGGAGATCATGGGCTCGATCCCCACTCCTGCCCATTGAGTCTGACTAACTTCCGGCTGTCTATAAACATAATATTTCGCAAGCGTTCTCAATTTCTCCTCGTAAGTCTTCTTTCTTTTCCTCCCTCTCTCTTTTCTCAGCTCATTCACACATTTGCGACTGCTTATACGACCAAGTGTGTGAAGCGCCGTTCACGCACTTGCAACCGAGTAGGACCGAGAGACAAAAGACCTGTTTTAACCCTCTTGCGACGGCGTAGGATCAGATGCGCTGCTGTGGAGCAGGTCCTACACCGCCGCTAGAGGCTTAAAAACCGGGCTTGTCTTTCTCGGTCCTACTCAGTTGCAAGTGTGTGAACGGTGCTTTACGATCTCTTGCGATCTCTTAGGACGAAAGAAGACACTGGCGCCATCCGTCGAATAACCATGAAACACTTGCGATTTCCATATCCTTTCGTTTGTTACTTTTCTTCTTCTTTTTTTTTTTTTTGAAAGGGGGGATGGGGGCGTCTCATACTTTTAGTATTGACTAGAAAAACTTTTTGCCAATGATGCAAGCGACCATTTCTCATACGTAGTGCGTACATTTGATCTCGGAGATACTTCAAGATACACACTCTAGTGAAATGCACGGCCACCTCATAGATGGCGCCAGCATGCCAGTGTGTTCTCTCGTCGTCAGAGGTCACAAGAGGTCGTAATGCACTCAATCATGAGCACTTGCAAGTGTGTGAACCAGCCTTTATAAATACCTGCAGAAAAGTCACTAGTCGTTAATACAAGCTACTAGAAATTAGATATGAGTTATACCAAAGCTACGATTACGGTTATTTATAAAAAGTACCTATGTTCGCACCTTAGATGCACAGAAAAAGTCGATTGCCAGTTAGTTGTACCTAGGTAGTTTACAACTCCAATTTATAACACTGTCAAAGCGGTTGGCGCGAGTTCATGGATCTATCTGGCGTTTCACTTCAAATGGGACGGTTTGATAAAGCCACGCGTGATATATGGAAGAAAGCTGAGTTGTCATCGACGCTATTGTGTGCACGAGCGGTATTTTAGCGGTGTTGCGACTTTTGTCATCACACCCGACTTGGTAAACGAATTGCCGAGTCAAGACCGATATGGTAGTAGCGTTCGGCGGAATGATATAAAAACCGCGGATCGTCATTGATCTCGCGAACTGATCACTCAACCTGCGGCGACCCTTTGCTTTTAGCCACGCTTGATTTTGTCTTTTGTCGCAGAATGCCTGTATATTCAGCGATATCAGCATTAAATCAGCGACAGCTGGTCAAACGGGGAATGACGCAGGTGCTAAATACAGCAACACACATCGCTGAAACAGGAACCGAAATATTGAATCAATTTAATGTTTTACGCGAGATTATTTAATTTGCAATTTTGGTCCTGATCGCGTTTTTCAAGGTGAGAGTCTCTACTGGCAAGAGTACAAATGACATCAGGGGAAGGCAGGGGTTCACTCTTTGAACTGTAGACTTTGTTTTCAACTGAAACCAAAGTGACAGTGCAGTGGTGTCAAATAAATGCTTTGGAAGAAGGCTCCAGCATCCGCGCATCAGCACGAAACAAATGCTCGGCATAGTCCATCTTATGATTGCCCACTCGACCTGCAAGCCTGCCTTCCCGTGACGTCACGGCACTGAAAAGCGCGGGTGCATTTGAATGTTGGTTTTGGCATCGTTTTCACTTGCCAATTTCACAAAAAAAAAATATTCTAAATGTCGCGATACTAGATATCATACCGGAAAGAGCAAAGACCGGTGATTCCGAAGATATAGTTAGTTGGGGTGGGTTAAAAAATCGCCGGAGTTTAATGGTTCAACCTTCTGAGAGGTAGCGCTGCAGGCCTTCTAAGCCACGTTCTCGCTCGCTTGGGCGTTTTCATATTGTCCGCGGCTGTATAAGCTACGTCCTCTCCGTCGCTTTTCTTTCCCTCGGAGAGTAGCCCGCCACTCAAAATTTGTACCAGAAGTGTATTTTCTCCCTCTCTCCCGTCCGGGGCTTCAACGGTATTCAAGAACCGTAGTAAAAATAAGTCCCGGTCCTCGCGTAGCATTACTGATTTCTAGGGCTTTGCGAATACTGGTTCAAATCGAATAGATTCGTTTTGACAATACAAGGGAAAGCCAAGACGGCCGGTTCTTTCAACAGTGCAGAAGCTAGGGATGACGTTTTGCTATTCAATTCGAATCACTATTCGCATATTCCTACTAATTTCCCACCTGTATGTGGAGAACTAATGTAGGTGCATTTTACATTTGGTAAATGTTACCTTATCATGACGTATACATTTCAAACGCCAAAAGCCAAGAGCAAGCGTGCACGCACACACGCTTGCTCGGCTTGGGAACGAGCGGGGGTTTATATTTAGCTATCGTGTTCCACTCTTAAAGGCTTAAGAGTCCTACTGTAATTTTTTTGTTGTTGTTTTGCAACGTACATTTTATATTATTTAAATTGCCGGTCTTGGCAAGCTGTTAATGAGAACTCTTTCTGAGCATGAGCTCTGAACAGCCCAGTGGAATATGGCGGCCCACACCGGGTCTGGGCAATGTGCGTACGCAGAAAACAGATCCGCGTGAAGTTTCTGCGCATGCGCCGTGGCGGCATCAGCGCCACCTCAGTAGCGTGACGTCAGAGCTGCGTGTTGGTAAATACTTAGTTTAGCTTTCAGGCTTGATAGATTCTCGTCTGAGATCTTGCATTATTGTTAAAACTTAAAAGTACGTGTGAGTTTCAGTTCAGATGGGCTTGACGTACGATGTTGTCCTTTCTCTTTTGTATAGGAAGATGACCTCTCGACGACAAGCGGCAAGGTAGGCGGTGTCTTTTTTTTTTTTTTTTTCTTTTTTCAATGTATTCTTTATATTTGTTAACAGTTTTAGGCGGCAGCCCGCATTCGTGTAATAAGATTACTAACACGGGACATCAAGTTAACTAGCTCTTACTCAGTGAAGCATCCACACTTTGTCTGTAGTTCTTTTCAAAATTGGCTAAGTTAGCATAGGGCCTGAAATCCACCTCGAGGCCTTCTCGGAGTTTAGTCACAATCATCATTTCCTTTGGATTGATACTTGCTTGGTAATCTGCTTGAATTTATTATGAAATAATCTGATTTCTTTTATTTCGCTAATAAAAAGACGATTTTTCTCACGTTGAAACGTCTGATAGGGCGGCAGGTATACATGCGCGATTAAAATATTTGCAGCGTTTTTATACCGTGAATGACTGTTAAATATTGAGCGTGTTGGCACATGCTTGTAAAAATTTGTAAAAAGATAAGCTTGAACTTCAGAATTATACTTTAACACTAAGAAAGAAAGGACAGGAGAGGACAAACAGCTGACTACCAACAGTGTTGGTAAGCTTACACTAAAACACCGTTAATAGTCGGCCGTTTGTCCTCTCCCGTCCTTTCTCTCTTCCTGTTCAAGTATAATTCTAAAGTTCAAGCTATTTACAAATTTTACACCGTGTTCTGCCAACATCATCTAGAATTATCAAAGCCTGATTCAGATCGCTCAAATAGCTCGCGGCGCACTGCGGCGCCGCAGTCGACGTACAAGGAGAAGATGAAGCTGGTCCGCCTGGAGCTGGTTCGCCACAAGGGCCTGATCGCGACCACGTCCGTAGCGCTCTTCTGCTTCGCCAGCTACTTCCTCATCGTGTCCGTCGTCATGCTCTTCTTTCACGCCAAGGCGGCCGAGCCCAGTGACAGCTTGGCCGTGAGGATGGGCTTCCACCCGATCAACATTGCCGTTACCCTCATGGCCATGGGCGTCGGTTGCGCCACTGTCTCCATGGCGCTCGCCTTCTCCATCGAGGATATCAACTGGGCCTGAAGACCCCCTGTGCTTACGTTGTACTCTCCGCAATAAAGCTAGTTCGTTTTTGAGCATCTGACTACTGGATCGACTTTACATTTCGTTTCAGTCATAGCCTGTTTATTTATTTATTTACAATACCCTCAGGGCCATAACGCGTTAGAGAGGGGAGTGGGTGTTACGTACAATGATGGAAACTGCTTCTCGAGATCTGATGGGGTCCTGGACGGTTACGATGTCTTCGGGAAGGTCATTCCAGCCCACAATTGCGTCAAAAAGAGGGGCATGCTGGTATGCTGTGAAAAAACACTGCGGCCGGGCTATTTTATTGCAGTGATCGAGTCTGAAAGAAAAACAAGACAGTGGGGAGAGAAGGCACTGATTTAGAGATGGTGAATAAAAACCTTTATGCAGAAGGCATAGGCGAAACGTTTCTCGACGGGAAAAAAGCGATGGGAGAGAAAGATTTAATTTGATTTGAGAGGTACTAGAGAAACATGAGTAAACGGACTCAATAAAACGTGCGGTTGCGGCACGTTTTTGGACAGTTTCAATTTAGTCTCTTAATGTAGCATAATGGGTGTGCCAGATTGATTATGCGTATTCTAATTTAGTTTGAACTATGAAAAAGTAGAGGAGCCGTGTTAGGTGAGGAGGGGCCCAAGTTTTTGTTAGCGGAACTCACAACGGAGTTAATATGGGATTCCAAGGAGTGGTTTGGAGTGAGGAGGACACTGGAGATACTTATGTACAACGGTAGGTCGAAGATAAATAACATTGAGAGTAAGAGCAGTGAAGATTTGAAAAGAGGAACAGAGAAGCGCATGCATTTATATTTGTTGACGTTGAGGTCATTTTTAGTATAAAAGAATCATGAAAGGATTTTTTTTTTTTTTTTATAAAGGACACAGACATCGGCAAATAGGCACATGGATGAGGATATCTGAAGAGGAAGATCGTTAATGCAGATGAGGAAAAGTAATGGACCGAGCACCGTTTCCTGGGCCAGATGTTACGGGTGCCAAAGCAGTTGAAGAATCGTTAACACGGACAAACATCTGACGTTGAGAGAGAAAAGATTCGATCCACGACAGTATGTACTTATCAAGGTTTAGTGACGAGAGTTTTAGGAGCATCCGGTTATGTGGAACTTTGTTAAAAACTTTAGCAAAGTCGAGAAATACAGCGTGCTAACTAGCTCAGCCAGAATCCATGGATTTGCGAACAGATCGTTGATTAGGTCAGAAAAACTGGGCTTCACATGTTTCTACGGAAGACGCGTGCTGTGCTTTGTTAAAAAAAGAAATAGATTCGAGGTGAATAGATAATTGCTGCACTGTTTACATTTGCTTCCCGATGCCACTGCTTTGGGAACATCTTGAAACGCAGAGGTAAGATCATTATTATAAGGCGTGAATTTAGCGGGACTTCGTAGCAGCAACACCAATTAACTGTTTTATGAAGCGTTAGAATAGTCTCAAACAGTGAGAAAGACAGGGCGCATCTTTCAAAAGCCCGGCCACCAACACGCAATTCATACCACTCCGCCATACCTTTGGCTGCGCACGCGCGCTCGACGTGCACGCGAAACCGAAGTGCATGTAAAGGTAGAAAACTTGCGACGCTACGAACTTAGCGCTCGTGACGATAAATGTTCGTGCGTTGGGAACTACTCTAAACAATGCATCAGAAGAGATTCTCCGGCCGTATTCTTAAACGCTACTCGACTCCAACTCTACTAAGTCGAGTGGAGGAATAATGCACACTTTTACTCAAGGGGCATTTGACTTCACGTACGTTTCTCGGCAATTCTTCCACGGAGGAATTCTTCGAGATTTTGTACTCTACTCTGGCGTTCCCCGGAATATCTGGAGACGCGATTACAACAAGTTGTTTCATCTACAACATAATTTTGGTGCGAAATATGTGTTCGTTACATATCAAAACTTGCACTAGCATTTTCTAGATGGTAGGTGTAAAAAAAATTAAAGCCGTTTACAGCTCCCTGTAGCGCCGAATTAGAGCGCAGCTCTTGAGGAGGAGGAGGGAAGGGTATACTGAGTGGAGGGTTATACCCCTCCTCCAAACCTCCTCATCCTGCCTGCTACTCCCCCCTCCGAGCGGCGTCGCCGTCGCCGTCGGCGTAACCGTGAGGTCACGTGACCCCCTGAGGGGTCACGTGACCCTCATAACACATGGTGATAATATAAAACAATGTCAGTGATGTAAGTAATATTAAATGATTTGTAAAATCAACTGCACTGTAAGCAACGGCTGGCGCTGCGCTCACGCACACCTTAAGTACTGGTCGGAATTACGTGCTTTCGACTAGACATTACCGCGAATAAAAAAAGTAACTGTGACTAGTTATTTCAGAAAGCAATTTACAGCCTCTTTTGATCATCTCATTTATGCGAAGCGCTTACACATTGAGATGCAGCCGCCTGCGTTCACAGCAAATAATATCTACAGACGTCCTCCGCTTGAACTTCAGTGTCGCGGTGAACCTTCAAAAGCGCTAGACCGAACAGTCGCTCATGCGATGTGGACGCTCTCAGGTATGTTTTCAACCGTCGCAGTTAAAAGAACGAGCGCTCAGCTTCCGCCGTCGTTGCGCGGAGAGTCGCTAGGACCTTGAGGAGACGATGGACGTTTTGGAATAGGGCCTTCCGGACAAAGAGCGACCGCCTGTGGCGCAGACGTGACAGGCGTTTCACGTTTCTCCCTCTTGCATGGGGCAGCCCACCTGAGCAGCTCGTATTGGAGTACAGGAACTGAAACCAGGCCTGAATAGAGTTCCAAAACCTCTCCAGCGCCGGGAGCTGCCCCGCTTTCCAAGATATTTGCAGGCAGAGGCAACGTACGCCGGAGCTTTTTAAATCTCCCATCTAACTGTGTGATTAGGTAATCCATGAAAGGAAGGAACACGGAGCGCTTAAAATGCTCTTCCGTGCTTCCAGCGGGAATGTAGAGCGGTGACGTTGCCGACTTGTTACTCGCGGCATCTGAATTTCAACTTCCGCTGTCTCAGCCATTTTGTAAGAAATACTTCAACAAAATTTGAAACATATCCCTCGTGTCCAAAATAGGTTGAATATGACCCACAATATCCGTAAATGACAATCGCACGTTTGTATTTTGAGCCTGGGTGGCTGTATTTTTCGTTATAAACGGCCCAATCTAGCAAGCGCTCGGAGAAGGAACAGCTTGGAGCACGTGACATCCGACGGAATCGTGACGTAGGTCGTATCGGGACGAGCAAAGCTACGGCGAGGCTGACGTCGAGGGGATGGCCTAGTCATTCCAGCCACCGAAGCGGTTGCTTTTGTACGAATTTTGAGTGACGGGTTAATCTTCTATAATCTTGTAGGGGGACAATAGCTACTTCTGAAACACACAAAAATTCTCGGGAAGACGGAAGTTCCTCCTTCCCCTCTTCTCTCGTCGTGACCGGAGGCGAGACACTCGCCGTCACTATAGTCGGTTACAAGTCAAGAAGGTAGGAGAAGCTCCTCCCACAAGCGTGATGCGCCCGTTTCAAATTTCTCTGCAGTCGAAAGAAGGGCACTGTTTGCTGCCACCCGGTGGTAGCAACGACTTCCGGGTAGACCCGCTTGCTGCCACGGACCAATCGGATGGCTACACACCACGTGACCGTGCTAACATACTAGGTAATTAGATTTTATATTTATTTTATTTGGTATATACAAGATATATTATGTTATAATTGCCTTATAACGATATAACTTATGTTATAATTATTTGTGACGTCACAACTTGCTTTGTTTGTGAATTCTTTCTGGCCGTTCCCGCCGCTTTCCGATTTTCTGTCGGCTGGTACCTGAGCAGGCGTGCGTTTGTGTACGGCACAGGATCTTCGGCAAGCTTCGGATATCGCCCTGAAATAATCGCGAATCGGCATTCTCGATTGTTGATTGGTTTTTTGTAGAGTGTTATTGAGGGTTCCAGATAGTTATTTTCACTTGACATCTCTTGGTTTAGTTGTAATTGGTGCTGGTTGTGTTGGTGTGCGGGTCCCGAACTAGGCATGCCACGTGTGTTGGTAGCCGGTGATTCGATGTTGAAAGACCAAGCGCGGTCTTTCACACTGAATCCTGGCGTGGCTGTCGAGGTCAGGTCCTTTAGTGGTGTCAGGATTGAGCGGTTGTTCTCCATGATCGCTGACAGTCTGCCTGGCTTTGATGCGGTGGTCGTGCATGTTGGCACTAACAACGTCGGGGATAGTGACATCACGCGCGTCGACAAATTTCGTCAGCTGGTGTCGCGCATCATGGAGAAAAACCCCGAGATCCAGGTCGCGTTCTCGGCCATCCTTCCGAGGGAGGTGAGCCTTCGGAAGAATGATCGGTGGGCGATCAGTGCCGAAGTGCTGCAAGAACACAATGATGAGGCCAGGAGAACGAATCTCATCTTGCAGGAACTCTGCCGCAAGGAGGGATACGGCTTCATCGACGGAAGCAGGCAGTCGTGGAGTGGGCTGCTCATGCTGGATGGTGTCCACTTCAACAAGAAAGGCAGCAGGGTAGGTTTGATCTGCGTATTTGAGCCATATCATGAATTTAGAACAATAAATTAGAATCAACATGTATGCAAATAACGCTAAAAGGTTGCTGTGCCTTAGATTTTCGTGGTGTCGCGTTTTCCCCTAAAGTTTCCATATCTTGGCAGGTGTTTGGACGCATCCTTCGAGGCGGCCTTCGTGGTGTTGTGGCAGGCCACGGGCAGGAGGCTGAGGACCAGGAGTGGAGTCGCCATGCAGCAGAGGAGGAACACCAGGAGCTGCGTCGTGAGTATGGGGACCAGGCCAAGGAGCTTGCAGAGTTCTGGAACGGTAAGTATAACTTCCCTTCCCTTAGTTCTAGTGTCGGAGGAGGCCCAGCCTGTGTGGGTGAAGAACAGGTGCAGGGCATGTGCACTGTGACAACCACCGACACATGCACCACCAGCTGGGCCGCTGTTGTGCAGAGGCCGCCGAAACGTGTGTCACGTGGCCGTGGCGGCGTTGACGGCGTTGACAACACTGTCAGAAGTAGGGGCTGTGTGCCGCGCACACAGTCTTCACAGAACACCGAGCCCTCTCGGGGTGCCCCAGCCGCCAGCGGTCATGCCACTCGAGAGCAGAGGCTGAGAGGAGTAAAGCCCTCTAGGATGCCAATGATGCTTTCTGATGGCTGTGCTCCTGCGCTTGCCGGGGGAGTGTGGGTGCACCGGAAGGCTGGCAGATCTGTTGCTGCCTGTGGTGCCTCGGTGCGTCCCTCCTCTCCTGTGGCGCAGTGCATCGACCCAGGGCCGTACCCAGAAAAAAATTTCGGGGGGGGTTTTCGGGGACAACGGCGGCCATTTTGAAAGTGTCTATTGTCTTATTTTCGCCTATGAATCATGTGCATCGGTGGCATATAATGGAAAGTTACAGCAAACCGGAGAACCGGTCCCGGTTTGGTACCCGGTAGCCGACTGGCGCCACTGCGCGTGCGCAGAGGTGGAGATTAAAATCGGCTGGCTGCCAGCGCACCGACCAGGGCCGTACCCAGAAAAAAATTTCGGGGGGGGGTCAGAACCCCCTATCCCCCCCCCCCCTGGTTACGGCCCTGCATCGACCCCCATGAGGGTGTACTGGCCACGGCCTGTCGCACCACTCGAAAGCAGAGGCGGAGAGGAACAAAGTCCTCAGGGATGCCAATGACGCAAACAGGCGGTCGTGCTCCAGCGCTTGTTGGTAGAGTGTGGGTGCACCAGAAGGCTGGCACATCTGTTGCTGCCTGTGGTGCCTCGGTGCGTCCCTCCTCTCCTGTGGCGCAGTGCATTGACCCTTGTGAGGGTGTACCGGCTACGACCTGTCGCACCACTCGAAAGCAGAGGCGGAGAGGAACAAAGTCCTCTGGGATGCCGATGACGCAAAGGGGTGGCTGTGCTCCTGCGCTTGTCGGGGGAGCTCGGCACTCTTGGATGGCGCATACATGTGGTGCTGCCTTTGAGTGTTCGTCTCTTTTAGAGGACTCGGTTTCTTCTTCTGGCAGAAATAAAGGGTGTTCTAGTGAGATAGTGGGTCAGATGCCTCTAAGATGCATTTCTTGTAATGTACCAACAGTGCATGGTCAGGCTGGTGCAGATGCTCCTGTCAGTGGTGCAGATAGGGTGCCTTGCACACCCTTTGGGTTAGGCAAATTAGCTGGAGGGGGCACTCTGGGTCTAGGCGTCACATTCAGTGACTATAGCGAGTTTGAATCTAGCTATAAGCAGTGGCTAGCTGCCAAATTCACTCCCATGAGAATTGGTCACTCTGAAAAAAATTTGTCTAGTTGCACAAGCCCTACATCTAAGGACCCCTTCCCTTATAGGCGTATCACTTTTGAGTGCTGCCGTGCTGGGAAGTCTCGATCTAGAGGAAACGGCATCCGAAACAAGCAGAGGTATCTTGCGACAGGATGCCTATGCAAGGTGTCAGTTTCTTTAATTGTGGAACCGATGCCTCATTATAAAGTTCACAGCATGGTAGAGGGCCACAACCATCCCGAAGGGCCAGGGTTCGAAATGTGGTATCCGCAGAACAGGCTTCTAAACAAGGCTGAAAAGAAAGAATTTGAAGACGTCCTTTCATGCAATGTTAAACCAAAGGATTTGAAAGAGTTGGTATTTAAAAAGACTGGAAAGCATATTACATCGCAAGACGTTAGGAATGTAAAGCATGAAAATGTGAGGAAAATCGAGAATAGTCTGCATCATGGTTCTCTCTTGTTAAAGCAAATGGAAGATTTAGTTAAAAAATGTCCTGGTTGGATTGTACACATTGAAAAGGATTCTAGCAATCAGCTTTTGTTTGTATTATTTCAGTCTAACTTAATGAGGCAGTTCACAGAAAATTATTCAGAGGTATTATTTTTCGATGGCACTTACAAGGTTAATATTGAATGTTATATTCTTCATTCAGTACTCTGCGAGGACAGCACAAGCCATGGGAGACCGATCTGTTACATGTTTGTGCAGCGGGAGACTAAAGAAATTCTTCAAGCAGCTATAGCGAAGTTCCTCGATTTAAATCCTGCTGTGGTGTCGAATTGTAATGTAGCGGTGATGGATAAGGACCTTAATGAAATGAATATTCTTGCACAGCTGCTACCAAATTGTAGAATTTTGCTATGCTCTTGGCATGTGGTAAAGTATCTGCACCAAAGAGTTTCGCAACTTTGTTCTAGCAGAGTCGACAAGCAAGCCGTTAAGTCTCTCATATCAAAGCTAGTTTTCTCTTATGATGACAATACTTACCAGGAACTCTTGGAAGAGCTTGAAAATGAAATGCAAAAGGAGCTTGAAAGTGAAAAGCAAAAAAAGTCCAGCTTTCTTGAGTTTTATTATAAAAATTGGCACGACTGTAGGGAGATGTGGGTGCATGCATACCGTCGTAACATCTATACCTTTGGGAATAACACTAACAACAGAATGGAAAGCCACAATCAAAAGATAAAGCAGTTTATGCACCAGCGTATGCATTTAGTTGATGCTGTCAAAGCCTTGGTTCAATATGTAAACCATGATACTTTATCTGTTAGCTTTGCACAATTCCAAGAAACCATGCTGTGCCTTGACACACGAAAAATTGATGCATTTCATATTCAGGTATCTACCAACTGTACAGGATATGCTAGCAACTTAATTTATAAGGAGTATGAATCTTACTTAAATGGAAATCTTGCATATTGTATGAATAATGGACAGCATACAGTCAATAGTAAAAGTAATTGTTACATTGTTTCACAGGATTTAACTGCCTGTACATGCACATTCCAAAATCAGTTCCGGCTTCCTTGTAGACATATCTTTGCTGTTAGATCTAATCTTTCAGTGGATCTTTTCGATGTCAAATGTGTTGCATTTCGGTGGTTAAAGTCTGGCTTTGTTGAAACTGATGTAGATACTGCACAGGCAGTAGCGCAAAAAATTAGTTTGAATGTATCAACTAAAGGAAATCCCAAACTGGACACGACGGAATCAAAGTATAATTACGCTTTAAGTGAGCTCTCGGAATCGTGCAAAAGCATAGCAAACACTTTGGCATGCTGTGGTAAATCTGAGCTGCTCGAAAAGTTATCTGAAATAAAGAGTTTTTTTAATAACCTGATAACCTATCCTAGGAATAAGACTTCCAAAACAGTATTCAATCAAGATGAACAGCAGGATTTGAAGCAGGCTCATTGCAAGGATGAAGATGAGCTAAATGAAGAAGGGTCATTTGGTAGTGAGGATGGCATTGTAGAGAGCCCTGCTAGTATTCCAAGCATTAAAAGGGAGGAAATTTGCAATTCGAGCACTGTTGAGCGTACGCAATTAAAGCAGCATTTTGTGGACCACAATTATTGCAAAAGTTTAGACATGAATACAAACTCTTCAGACATAATTACTCTGTCTCCAGAACCGGAATTTCATAATGAAAGAAAACGTGCTGAAGTTTCACATACTGTTGTAGATCTGACCTGTGACGAAGTATTGGATAAAGACGTATTGATTGTTCCATTGAATAAGTCTCCTCGTGGTAGGCCCAGTAAAAGAAAGAGGACATCTAAAGTGCAGGCATTGCCAATCATGAAGTCTGGTAAAAGTAGCACTAATTGTAACATCAGCGACCGCAGCATGCTTCGTTTAGAGCGTGCAGCACGTTATATTACGCAGCATGATTTATTGTGTGAGCAAGGCATTGAATGGTTAAATGACAATTTGATCAATGAGGCACAATCACTTATTCATACACAGTTTAACCATGTTGGGGGGCAACAGGATGTTCTTCTTGGCCCAAGATTGTTGTTTAAAAAGCAAGATAAATTTGTCCAGATCCTTCATATTCCAGATCATGAACATTGGGTGACTATTACAAATTATGGGGCCCCAAACAATTCAGTATTTTTATTTGACTCCCTCTTCGAAGAAATATCAAACAATTTGGTTTCTCAGGTCTTAAATATCATGGGATTAGATTTACATCAGCTCATTGTTTATGCCAGATGAACACATATGATTGTGGGGTGTATTCTATAGCCAATGCATATTGCATTGCATCTGGACAGGATCCATGTTCTCAAAATTTTGACCAGAGTTCTATGCGAGGCCACTTATTACGATGTCTTTATGATGGTGAAATTTTACACTTCCCTATTACAACTTCACGTGTGCCTAGAATGAAGCGTAGAAAAATTTGTTATGCTGACAGGACATTATTGCTAGATACGAGTGGACATATGTAATAGAAGCTGCATTTTTTTAAATACCAAGTGTAACAAAAAGGTGTGGCTTTAAATGTTTGATTTACCAGTCACAACCACCTAATGTTTGTTCCTTCAGAAATGAAAATCTTAAGTTAATGCTCATGATAACGATAAATATAAAATAATTTCCCTTTAATATAAAGAATATTTAGCTTTAAATTTAGCCGCAGCCAATGATGAAGGGTTGCCTGAGCCTCTACTTCTGTGTGAGCCATAGGTCCCAATCTGAGGCTTTACCTTTAAATTATTTTATTAATTTGCAAGAACCTGCATGGATTATCTGCAGGTATAGCCTAAATTTATTAAGCATAAAGCTCTGTGAACATATACTAAACTTTTATACATAAAACGGGTAGGTTCTGCTTTTGTTACTGTACTCTTGTTATTAATTGTGCCAGTCGGGTCTTTAGCTTTATTGATACTACAGTGTGAGTCAAAGGAATCAACGGCTGATTGACGGCTGATTGCAAATATTGGTTTCTGAATGTATTGTGCTAAGGTCCTTCACAGAAATGCTAAGCAATGTGCATTAAAGGTATAGAAGTTCCATTGATCAAACTACCTAAGTAAAAAATTAGGATGGAAAAACTTGAAATCACTACCCACGGCGGCGTCTTAATGGCGAAAAAGCCAAAAGATGTTGGCAGTGCTCTCTGCGTTGACAGGTGGGGATCAGCAGCGAAGACACAACGAATACTATTTCAGCATCAGCTTCGGTGATGACACTGCTGTTGTCAGTGGCTTGTTTTTGAGGTTTCCCTCATTGAGGCGCACCTCACCCAGCGTAGAATTGTAGAGGAGTCTGGAGGTAGCCGCCGAAACTCCACCCAAAAAAGTCAGTGGACCTATTTTGTTCTCTTACACTCTCCAGAACAGAGCAACCTTCACTCACTCGTTGGGAGCTAAGTGCACCCCAAAACAGCACGGATGAAAGTTGTAGACAAGAAAAGTGATGCGGTAACAACCAGAGAGTGCAAAGTAGACAGCGACATGTAGCCGAAAATAATTGCAGAAAGAAAATGAGACAACACAACTGTTTTGTTTGTGTTTTATCTTGAATTTTTTGTTTTATTGGTAGAATAAAACACTCATGCACTGACAATTCGTGCAAAAATAAAAAAAAGATTGCATCGCCTTTAGTTTAGAAACGTCATCCGCTATTGCACCCCTCCAGATGCCCATGTGTCAAGTTATTGTCTGCAACCGCAGCACGATTCAAGCGTACCGCCTGTAGGCTCTCTAACCGTCTGTGATTTTACGTGCCTCCATCTGTCGGTTGCACCAGACACCTTTTTTTTATAGCAGACAGCTGTCGAAGGTAGGGATTTCAAGATTTTGGTCTCTAACTCTTTACTCAGGTAAGTTTAATAAGTAAGACTTTTATACCCTTGATCAACGCTCTTCAGCCACCCCTCTAAAACATTTAAGTGCAATACATTCACGAACCAATTTATGCAATCGCTTCAAACGGTCATCGATTCCTTTGACTCGCCCTGTAGATACTAATTGCACTAATCAAAATGTGTTACGCGAATGTTTAACAGCTATCTTCAATTATTTCAATGTATAGAGCTCAGCAGAAGTCCTCCAGCTGGTTAAGCAGAAGGTATAATCGAACTTCAAAAAATATTTCATACGCTCGAAAACAGCCCGTCGAGAATTGGCCGGTTTTAATCATGCTCACTCTCTTTTACATGGTCACATGGCATTCAAACTGTGTACTAAATTCAAAGTCATGGGTCATCATTCAATATTAAAAATAGAAAGTAGCATGAACCCCATTTTTGTGGCCTCCAAATATGTACATTGAAAGAAAAAAAATGTTGCACAGGTCAGAGGAAGCACATGTACACATCATTCTGAACATGGCGACGTACCGCGGGCTAGACAAAACGATGGCGGCGCACGACGAACGTGGGGCCGCTACTTCGCAACTGTTGTTCATAGTACCGGCCAATTGATCTTCAAGCACAGAGCATCGAGCAGAAGAGATATAAGTGTGAAACAACCGCACGGGCAAACAGTGCACCCAACTTAGTTGTTGTCTGCTTCGCTTGCTGAAGAAGAAAAAGAAGTGCAGTTGGGTGTCGCGATGTGGCTTCTGATATCTCTCTCCTCCTCTACCTTGCTTCCTCCTCCTCGGTACAGATTGTCCACATGTCTCGGTCATGAGCTTCTGTGCTCATGTTTTGGTTTCAAGCAGTGGAGTTTTTTTGGCCTTGTTAAATATATATGTGACTGTAGCAAAATATTGATTTGGGTAGTCTCCTGACATCATATTAAATCGCCTGGCAAAAAATTAAGAAAAGCCTTTGTGTGTGTGGGGGGGGGGGGAGGGGGTTAGTGTTTCTTTAACCACAATTTCTATAAACTTCCCAACGTTATGGGACCGACTTGGCTTCTATTAGTATGTGACTAAAAGAAGCCGAATGGTTGCAGCTTTTCTTTGTTTTTCTTTTGATTTTTTTTTCTTTTTAACCTAGGCATATCAAACAGACAAGAAAGAGCTTGAAGATATTTATAAGAATTCTCAAGCAGCTACTTCCATGGGCTATGGTAGTAAAAGGAAAATGAATATAGATGCAACCATTTGGGCTGTTTAGTGACTCGTGACCAAGGAGCAAGTCTATCCTGAAACATTAAGTAGTTCACAGGAATCGTGTTTGCGGTTCCTAATTTGTGTCATATATTTGACTCGGGTCGGTAAACAAGGTTGTGGCATAAACACAGCCAAGCATGATTGATGCTATAAATAGTTAAAAAAATATGATGCAAGAAAAATTGGAGGGCTACAGCAGTTTGACTGGTTGGTATCCGGGCTGGCTGATTGTCACAATAGGATTGTGCGAGTTTTCAGAACTTCTGGTTGTGACATCAAATAACATACAATTCGATCTGATTTCGTATCAAACACTGAGTACTTGGAAGTTCTGCAATAATTCACATGTTTGTGTTCTGTTCTCGCTGGTTAGTGTCCTATAGAGCGCTTCTCGCTGTACACTGGTGTACTGTGGTGGAGCAAATGCCACGAAGCAGGCATTGCGATTTTGCGTGTCCTGCTTTGTTGCAGCACACCTGCATGCTAAGGGGAAAGCATTCCTCTAGAGCAAGACGTGACAATTTTCTAATGAAACTTCGGCTTGCATATATGGTAGATGGACTCTGATATTCTGACGATATCTTTTTCCATTCCTAGATTTAGCAAGGATGCTCCAAAATTGCAGAAATATTTATATGGACTTTTTAGGTTCATGTTTTATGCCAACTTTTTTTGTCTCGTTGTCACTTTTATATATGTGCGAGTAAATTGTAACTCAATTAGCTGAAGTAGTGGATGCAAGCTTGGGAAGAACCTTAAAGGAGTTTAAAATGTAATTTACGTTTGTGGGCAACCTAAGGATCCAAGTCATTCGACCAGGTGGCCTGCGTGCCAAATGGTCCACAATCATTCCCACCACGGGAGTCAAGTACAATTGGCCACGCGAGCGGCGCTCCGCCGCTAATAAACAGCTGTTGCAGCGGATGTGTGGGAATCTTGGGATCGCAGCGCGGGCGATGACAGTGAATAAATGATTACAGGTTGTTGAACCAGTGCATTGTGTCATTCTCCGAGATAGGTAGTACCAAGTGGATTCCCACGCATTTAGTAATCAAATGACGAATGCTTTTTTTTAATGTAGAACTGCAGTTTTATTACAGCCTCTAAAACTTAGAGGAAACAGATTTAGGTACTCAAAATTATTGTATTTTAACATTATTTCACTGGATGAAAACGAAGTGGGCGCTCATGCCCCAAAAGTTATCTTAGCTGCTTCAAGAGCTGTTCCAAAACGACTCAGACCAATCACATGACTTGTCTTCTGAATGTTTGCTTCTGGTGCATATCAAGACGCATGTCTTAAAGGTAACTACTGAATAGTTTCAGTAAATAAATTTTTAATTTATTAATTAGCTTAACGAGGTGAGTTCTATCCTATAGCAGCAAGCAGATGATGAAACTTTTTCTGCCATTTCATTTGTTCTTGTTTAGGTAAGCAAGAATGCTTCGCGATCCGGAATGTTACATTGCTTCACTCCTGTGCATCGTGTTTTTTGAAACCGACGAATCAGAGTCACTCACTCCTTAACCCTGGAGCCGCTGCTGAATGTGCCTATTGCCTCCTGGGACTTTAACAAGGTAAGCGGGCTTGTCTCATGCACTGCAAATCAGTTTTTACAGGTTGGAGATGGCCAAACAGCAGGATCCCTCAACATTGGCTTTTGTGACCTTCTGTGGTAAAGACACATCACCAAGTGCATCCTGCCAAGAGTGCAGAAGCTGAGTTTCAACTTAAAATTAATTGCAAAGGAAATGAAGGAAAAGGCTAAATATGCAATTAACAAAGTATAAGTCGAGATTTTCTAACAATATTTTTATTTGTAACCATAATTGGAAATTTTGTAAAGCCTAACCTCATTTTTACAACATATAATTTAAATTATTTTACAATTGTTTGATGTGTATTGATGAAGCATATAAATAAAATTGCATTTCAAATTGGTACATGTGTCTTTGTGTCATCAATCTAATTTACTGAAACAATACCAGCTGAAATGCTTTTGACAGTTTCATAACTGTGACCTATGTTTAGTTTCTTCATTGAATAATTTTTACAAGGCAAATTGTTCGATTTTTTATTTGTGCCGTGGTAGGATTATTTTTGCTCTGGGTAGTAAAATGTTATTTAACATTAAACAACCAAGATCTAGCATATGTGTGTGCAAAAGCTCGCAGGTCTTCGTCTGGAAGGCAGGCTTCTCCCACCGTTCACAGGTGTATTGCAGGGAAGTGTTGTTGGAACTTGAAAAATACTATTGGCCTGGCTGCTGGCCATAATTTTTTTTTTTGTTTTATTAACAATGTGTTTCTTTTTGGTTCAACATGGACACTAAGCTCTGTTGCAACTTAAAGACAGTGGAGGAGGCCACCCCTGCCAGCCACAATTAATACTTCTCCAGCGTCTGCTTTGCTATGGAAAGAGGAGTGATCTGTAGGAGGGGGTCTTACTAGTCTTGTAAAAGGGTATGTGTGCTGCAATTGCTTTCCTGCAGCATGACACTTCATTGGAAGGAAGAAGGCAAAGCTAACAATTGATGGGCACTGCAAATAGATGTGATGCATTTGATGAGTGCATCTTCCATTGGAACTGGAGAGCTTTCTAAGTGCTGGTTCTCACCGCCATGTGCAGGGCATTGCCAACACTTGACTCCTCAAAACATTAAGAATTTTTCAAGTATTGCCATTTCATCATGCGAACAGCACTTTTATTACAATCTTATTTTAGTTGTAGAATACAACTAAACTGCTGACCCACTTCCTGTAATATAAAGGCCCCATTGCCTTTTGGATGAGTACATGGGTTTTTGTTGCTACTATCCTTACTCCATAGCAGA